TTCTTCATCTCTCAATAAAAATGAAAAGTTCAAACATGAAAGTTGTGGCATTTTTTCCCATGAATCCAACCATATAAACAACTTAAGCTAACAATCAAAGATGAATGGGAATTTTTCTAGCCCTAATTCAAAACCTAAAAATTTCAGAAAACTTCAACCCTAAAATTCTCTAAGCTCACGCCATATAAATGTAAACTATGGATATGTACAACTTCGTGGCAATGGTATATACATTTTATCTTCACAAACCAAACTCAAATGATGCCTGTATGAAGAGATAGAAGTTTGAAAACTTACCTCTTGCAGCTGGAGTCGTGTATGGAGTTTGAGCAACCTTTGTGATGGCCTGATGATTTCTGTAGCTTGCCTGGATCTCCTTGAACGTGTTCCAACTCCTACTTTGCTTTGAGGATGGTTGGAACTCCCAACTCAAGTCAAGTTGCAGCTTCAGTTTTGAAAATGGTGGATGATGACGGAGGAGTTACAATTAGGAAATGAGGGTCTGGATCACTTTGATATGATGTATGGAAGGTGTTTGGATGATTAGTTTTCAAAACGCACAAGTGGAAATGAAGATGGTGAGTTTTTGCTCAAAACTGTCAAGTTTGGGCAGTTCTGTGTAGCAAGGCGCTTGGGAGTGTTTTAGGGCTTGTCCAAACATGTGTTGTGTTGCAATTGACTTGTTAATATGTATGGAAAAGATTAGAGCACAAAATCACTCAAGGTTTCCGAGTTATAGGGTTATGGCTCTATAACTTGCTTTTTAAGAAAAGTGAAGTGACAAATCTCAAGTATTATACAAGCATGTTCTGAGATTCTTGAGACCTTAGACACATTGCTTTTGGTTTGTAGGGGTTGTGTGTGCACAAAGAACAAGTTAGAAGCTCAAGACAAGTTGACTTTGTGATTAAAGCAACTTTTCAAGAATGGAATGGTAACTTTCTTCCTAAAATGGCAAATTGGCTTGGACAATGCTTGGAACACTCGGATAATAGCTCAAAAGCAAGTGTAATCTTCTGATTATGGATAAATCTTGAGGTTTAGAGGCCTGCAAAACAAGATTGTGCAGTATAGGTTTGAAATTGACTTCTTGTTCATCACAAAATGGCTTGTAATTTAAGTGACAAAACCCTAACTTCATCTCTTCGATTCTCCCTACTCAAGAATGATCTAAAGGAGTTCTTGGACATTTTGGAAAGCTTGTAACATGCTATAAAACCCCTCTTTGAATTTCTTTTGAATATTCCCCTTGGAAATATGTGAAAAAGTGTCAAGAAGTTAGGTCAAAATCCTGTCCAAATTAGGGCAAACTTTCACTAAGTGTTTTGTTTCATGACCCTATGTTCATAAAATTGTAACTTGAGATCCAAGCATTTTTGGAAGAAGTTGTGTGAAGAAAAGTTGTAGATTTCATAGAGATATACAACTTTCATGTTGGAAGTTTCTCTTGAATCATCTTGCATCATGGTGAAAATTTGGCTCAAAGTTATGAAAAAATAAGAAATTTTCCATACTTAGAAAAATTTCTAAGTTAAATTTTTTTAACATTTCAAGATGAAATCTTGAATTCTTGATTTCTCGATGAACAAGTTTCATATTTTAACATGTTTTTATGAATTATGATCTTTGGTACTTGAATTTGACCAAAAAGTCAAAGTTTGACTTTTCAGTATACAATTGACTTTGGATCAGTTGACTGCAAAATTCATCTGTCAACCCAATGGATTTGTAATATTTTGAACCATTTCATTAGGTCAAAATGATGAAATTGGACCCTTAATATCATGCCTTAAACCAATTAACCATTTGCTGGGTTAGAAAAATCAGAAATCGCCCTTTCCCAGTCAAAACCCTAATTTTGACCATTTTGGCCTTTTGGAGATTTGATCAAATTTCTTGAGGAATTGTGGTCCAAACTTGATCAAATGATACATATGAGTTTAAAATGTTGATGTGGATAAAAAATAATGAAGTTTGACTGTAAATTGGCTATAGTTGACTTTTTCCTTAATACAACTGATTTTTAGGTCAACTGCTCAATTGACTGGGCAAAAATGTGATCCAAGGCTTGAAACCTGACATGAGTAATATTGGGGGTCCATAATGATCCATGAATTTCATATGAAGTATTGAAAGTTCAAAAATCATTGTGCAATCTCAAACTCTAATTTTGGTTATCAGTGCATAAGGAGGTGTCTTGAGCTGATCAACCCCTAATGCAGTATTGAGTCAATGGAGATCTTGTGAGCAAATTTTTGATAAGTGAGAGGGCAAATTTTGGTGTACAACACCACGTCTACTAGATAAGTAGGAATGAGTTAGGGCGAATTAAGCCCAATCGAGTGAGTGATAACTAAGCTTTGGGAGACTTTATGGTCCATTCAAGTGGCAAATGGCTTTGTAGGGAAGCTCGCCCTTCGCCCATATGCCTAACACACATTCCTTTTGAATGGACTATCCCTTCTTAGGGCCCAGTAGTTTATATTGATACACAATCTATCAAAGACGAGTGATTTTCCAAAGGATGAAGTGATTTAACCTCGACACAAAGTAATATATTTCTAAGCGAGACCTTAAGTTGAATCTCTCAGGCGAGACTTTAAGCTAAGTCATTTGGGTGAGACTTTAAGTTGAGTCCATCTGGTGACACTTTGAAATGGGTCCCTCGAGCGACACTTTAAGGCAAGTCCTTCAAGTGAGACTTTAAGTCGAGGTTCTCAATTAGTTAGCATATTAATGGACCGTGCAAGTGAAGGGACAATCTTATGAGTCATCTTCATTTGTAGCATCGTCTGGTGACATTTTATCTTATAAATAAACTAGAAAACTAGCAAGTTGAAGAAATAGTCACAAAGAAGTAACAAAAGAAAATAAGAAATACTCATCAAAGGTGACACATCTCTCCTCTTTTTGTGGAAACTCTCATTAACAAGCACATTTCTATGATTCGTTTATTCTGTTTTTTCTGTGTCGCCTAAAAATGAGCAACATTGTCAACGAAACTCTAACCTTTATAGACTACCTATTTACTCTTTTGATAGGCTTATTCATGGGACAACCCATCCATGTTACAAACATAAGACCCAATGTCTACCAAGAAATGACTCTAATGCCATAAGTTGGAGAATCGATTGGAACATAAAAAAGGTGGCTGGAGCTTTACTCGCATATGTTAGCCTGAGACACCTGCAAAGGAGGTAACTAACTAATATTAATTATTGAAATTCTTCAAACTATTAAAATAAACCTCGATCATCTTACTATTGTTCATGAGAGAAATCCGACCTTGACCCACACCGTGTAATCAAAGTTGCGTTGTGCTTTAAAGAGATGAAAAAAGTGTCAAGGTCGACAAACTTTTCACGTACTCATACTAAGTTGGAAGACTTTGACATAAGCCCATTTCATCGTGTGCAGTTGTGAAATATCAAATTTTAGGTGATTTAGAACACCCATATTGAAGTCATTAAAAGGAAGGTGAAAACCTATCAAGGAATGACACACCCATCACACTTGTTGCATATTTAAGAAGAAAACACTCGTTAGTCTGAGGGATGACCTACATCGGTGAAGCCATCATTCAAACCACTTCTGTTAATGAAGATGGAAACAATACCCAATGTTTCTTGATCTACCCATCTGACCGGGCTGTCTCTTGTCATGTTCCATGCTCCTGGGTAAACGTTGTCCATTTAAAGGGCTTCCAACATATAAAAAGAAATAACCATAAGTGGAAGCATGAGGTTGATATAAGTTTAAGCTTTGCATCTCTGTCAAGGGTCATTTTTATATTGAAGGATTTCTCCAAGTACAAGACAGGAAATGCCAAAACCTAGCATATTTTTAGAGTAGACGGTGCCACCCAACATTCCACTATCAATGACGATTTTCTCCTTTAAACCTTCCATAATCCTCTTCTCCAGAAACCCTAGTAAAGCAAGCAAATATATGAGGAAAGAAATGTTTTAAGGCGTTACCTTCAAAAAGATGAATTTAATGACTCAAAAGTTGTGTACTCCGTCATAAAAGGTGGCACAAATGCTTCAAAATAATGGCTGATAAGAGGGTATTTATGAAGATGAAAAAAGTTACAAACATAGAGGAAAAGCTCTAAAGACTCACGAGTGACGAAAAAGGAAATGGTAGCCCCAAGACTCCTCATATATCCTTAAATGAAGACGACACAAGACCCACATTGGTAAACATTGAGAAGCGCAAACCACAACACCAACGGTCGAGATCTTACCTCAAACTATTTAGAATACTCGAGCTAGTACATAAAGGCATCATTGCTACTAGACATAGGGCCACGCGTCGAGACTTCCATGTGAAACGTTTGCTAATCACGAGCGAGGAATTTAATGCGCTTGTTCCTAATGTTATTGATGTCCCACAAAGGTTATTCCATTTCCTTTTACTAGAAGCCGAACTAATGACATGCATGACAAGCTCTCGTTCTACGAGTAAGGACAAGGGCACGACGACAACTGTTCCTGCCCACTCACAAGGCCCACAACGAAAGCCCAATAACAAATATTGCACGAAAATAGACACAAAACATGTGAGACCTCACCCTAGCAAAAGACGCGTGATTTCAACCTCCAGCACATTCCCTACCGTTGAGTTTGATCGAATAACAACCAATATGAGGTACCAATCACACGAAGATAGTTTTAACCACTCACACCATATAAAACACAACACACACCATTTCAATTATTCTCTCATTCACACTTTAAAATTACTTTCTCACTCATTCATTAACTTGAGCGATCTATTAATAATTTTACAAATCCATTTCATTCAGGGTATCAAAATGTCACTCTACCACATTAAACTCACCTTCATTCAATCTCCTCATATTTTTTTTATTTTGATTTCAGTACATATCAATATAATAAAATTGTCAAAAAGACAAGAAAATGTTAGTGTACTAATTTATTTTTGGTCGTAACTAAATTAAATTTATCAACCATTATATTTGAGATAAATAAAGCAAAATGTTTTTTTTTTATTTAAATTATCTTTCTAACATTAAAACCCTAGCACAACAAAACTCAGTAGAACGCACAGCTTGGAGTCGCACTGAACTCAGCTTAGCCGTAAGAAATCAAAATCTCGCCGGAGCTAATCGGTCGTCAGAAACAGCGAGAAACTCTTCCAGGTTTTCGAAACATATTTATCAAATTTTCTCTGATTTCCCTTCCCTCGTGATGCGCGCGAGGATCCAATTCCACCGCGCGTGATTTTCGGCGCCACCGCCGCACCGGCAAAGGCAACCTAACTATTGTGTCGCAGCGGAACTCCACTATACACCACGATTCCGCGATTGTGTGTTCCATCAGTGCAATCGATAACATATTTTACGGAAAAGAGAGTATATGAATATGATTTCTGTTTGTATGTGAGAGCTTACTTTGTATTTTGTTCAAACACACAGGTTTTCAATCATGGCGGAGGATAATTCACATTCAGATATATTGACAGAAGAAAATGGAGCTAAAGAGGTTCCAAGTCTTGTAGAAGGAGTTGCCGAGCTTTCTTTGTCACCGACACAGAAAGAAGAAGATGATGGTAAAGGTAATAGTTATGCTATTCATGAATTGTATAGCTTACTTTGTATAATTTTATTATTTTTTCAAATTATTAATCTTTATACATTCCTTGTGTTAGTATATTCGTTTCTATCTTAAGGTTCCGTTTCTCGGAGTTTTGGTTGATTTGAACTGTAAAACTCAACAGTAGGAATATTCTATTGTCTCCTGTATTAGAATTAATTCTTCCTGCTTCATCACAAAATGATATTTATGGACTTAATGCCAAGTGCAATTAACAACTCTGTTTGTGGATGATCATTGATATTGTGCTGTGATATTATAACATAAATGACGTAATGTAGTTGTACACATAACATTAAGAAAATACCGGAAATACTAACCCTAATAGATTTCATATAGTTTAACACATTTTTATTCCATCTCATAAATCAAACTATACGGCATAAGGAAGGTTATAAATATTAGGATAAAGTTTTATGTGTAGGAACTTTGAATTAACAACTTATTTGAGTGAACTGATTATAAACATATATTTCTCCTGTGACTTGTGGAAGCAAGCTGGGGCTTCAAAATTTCAAATACATGCCGCAATTTGTATCTCATTCGTTTTTCTCCATAGGTTTCCCGTCACGATGCTAATGAATTGAAATACCTGTAGTATTATTACATACTTAGCTAATTTCCATTTAAATGTTCGAGACTGGAGCTTATAAATTACATTATCATATATTTTTTTGTCTAAAGGGAACAATAACATATGTCTGGTTTAATCTTGAGGCATATTACCAGAGTTGGGTGAGATTTCTTTCAGTTGCACAACACTAATGTTTTGTGTGTACCTTCGAACACATTCATGCTAGTTCATGCTAGTTATTTAAAAGTAATAGAAGCCTTATGAAAAAATTTTAGTGGGTGAAATCCTATTCTGGTCCCATTTATAGAGAGTCTGCAAGGTTATCTAGCAAGGCCAACTATTCCCGAGCAAACAATTGAATATGTGTTTCTTCTATACTTGCAGTACCATGGGCCAACAAAGTTAAGCCAAAAGTTGCCATCTTCATAAGAAGATGCAGAAAAGTGACTTCTGCTACTCCTAATTTATTGCACAGAAAATTTCTATAATCCCATAAAGGGTTATTTTCTTTTCTTTATGAAGTTATTGATATTGATACAAAAAGAAACATTAAACTTCTAGAAGGGCGATAAGAAATGTCAGAGAATGTAGCCGTCAAAACACAAATTACAATACACTATATAGAAAGCGACAAAGCCTTGATGAGCAATAAAAAATCATGACACCCACTAAATGGTGAACAATGATGGATATACCAGTTTAGTGTTTCAAAGAAAAACAAAAAAAGTTCCTTGCAGGATAAAGAACAAATGTGAAGAACAAGTCCTTTGGTTGAGCACAAGTAAGGCCCTTTGGTTGAAGCGAACTGAGATGAAGTGTGAAGTGTCCGAACAAATAAAAAGATTGAATTTGATTAAATGTAATTATATTGACAACTATGCTATCATGTCTTAATCCTTTCCATTTTAATTAAAAAGTTGCATACTACTTTTTTTGGTTCAGCTTTGGACTTTATTTGAAAATACTTTCTATAACCAAACTGAACACATTTTTTCTATCATTTTCTGTTTCCATTTTCAATCAAAATAAAAACATAAAATGAGCAAATCAAACAGGTCCTTAGTTAGGGACAGTTAGAACAATTAGCTAGGTAGTTAAAGGGGTTTAGGGGTAGGGGTGTTGATAGAGCATTATAGTCCAATGTGTCTGATGACTTAATCGTTGGGCTCAAGGCACACTTAGGACTTCTAGAAGGTTGTGGAAGCTGGGGTAATAAGAGTTTGTTAGAATTCTCCTTATTTTAGGGAGGGTATTCTGTTATAAAAGAGAGGGGAAGGGATTAGAGAATTCATTCATAAAGTTTGTTAGAAAACAGTTAGGAGAGAACTATCTCTGGTTTAGGAGTTCATAGAACTCTGGTTTACTTTTTCTTGTGCCATTTTCACCATTGTAGAGCCTTGAGCTCAACAATTTCCAGTCAATAATATACAGTTTTGTTTCTTGATTTTCCTGGTTCTATCGGGTGTTGTGCAAATTTTTAAGTTTTAGGTGAAGAGAGCTATGGCTCTAAAGGAAGCTCTTGAAGGAAAATGCTTTCTCATTTTCTAAGTCTTCAATAGATTGTCCACTTGTTTATGTCTTTCTATTTTACTACCTTCGTTCCTATTTATAAGAGACAAGTCACTTTTTAGGTTCATTGAATAGTCAATGTATCTAGTCTATAAACAGACCAAATACATTAGTTATTCAATGAACCTAAAAAGTGACTAGTCTCTTATAAATAGGAACGGAGGTAGTACATTTTTTTCTCCCCTGGTTTTTATTTTGATTGCTTTTCTCTTCTCTATAAAAAGCAGGTCACTCTAGATATGATACTCCATTACTGTGTAAATCATATTTTGATGAATTGTATATTAATAACCATGTTTCTTCATTGTTAAAACTAAAACAGCATGCTACTTTCTAAGAACATTGTCTGAACTCTGAACATGAAAAAATAGGATACCTAATGATTAACCATGTCATAAAGTATAGGCATTTTTCTAGTAAGAAACTCAAAATTATGCTGAGTGATGCAGTTATTATATTAGTATGAGAAGTAGTGATGTTTTGTATTTGAACTATTTACACTGGGTATGTATTATATGTACCTGTCTTATTATTGATCTCAATTTAAATGCATTTTTCTCTTCTAACAGAAGTTACAAAGAAGAAAAAGAAGAAATCTAAAAGCAAGTGAGGGCTTCTTCTGCCTTTAATGATTATTCTCCAAATAGTGCATTTTTACCAAAGTTCTCATTTTATCCTTCTGTGGTCAGGAAAAAGAAAGGACCCATTGAGCAGACAGATCCACCATCAATTCCTGTTCTTGAACTTTTCCCTTCTGGAGATTTCCCCGAAGGCGAAATTCAGCAGTATAAAGACGAGTAAGTAGATGATATATAAATTTAAGCAATATATGACATTTTCATGAAAAATTGGTTTGAGTTTCCATTTGAGTGAATTGAATTCTGTTTCCCTGTTTTAAATTTTTCTTTGATTTTTTTTAGTATCAGTAACAGGATGTTCATCGACTGACCAAAACTTCTCTGTTAAAAAAACCCAAAAGTTAGAGTGACTAAAGAAAAGATATTGGTATATATGGGGGTTGTTGAGGGTCCCACATTGGATTGTGGTATCGTCGGAGTAGTGGTTAGAAGTGAGAGGCAACCCTCACCTTATAAGTCAGTTTTGTGAGGTTGAATTATTTTCAACCCAAATTCTCGTACGGTATCAAAGACTATTCCGAATTTGTTTCCCCAACCATTATCGATTTATTATTGGGCCATCTAGGTCACGCGTCTGGTCTTGGACATGCGAGGTATCTTTTAAGATTCCTGCATTCTACAAGCTGATTTTGCGGGGTTGAATGAGGCCTAACCCAAATTCCAAGAGAGATCCAGATGCATTCGAGCCCAAATATTTGTGTATTTCAACTTTTTTAATTGTACCTGCTATCTTCACCTCAGTAACTAATCTGCTGCTGTAGTGTTTTTAGATATGGCTATTCCACACTTCATTCTATCATGAACGACCTCTCACTGAAATGATGTTGCACCCCAAGACTTTATGGTTCCAAAGCTTGTGTCATTAGGTTTTTGAAATAATGACGGAATTCCTTATAATTAAGAAGCTCGCAGAGAATAAAAAATAAAGAAGGTTTTAAAATCTATTTAGACTCACCTCAGGTTTTTCATGAACTAACTTCATTTTTGCACCATTAACATGTGGGTGGATTTACTTGCCAAACCAAGTGCACTGCTTATACACTTCCTGGGGTGAACAACATTTACAACTACTTGGGTGTCATGTTCCTGCCACAAAATATATTTTTCTTTTCCCATACTCATTTTGTTTCCATATTTTGTTTGAACTTTCAAAATCTTTATATTTATGTTGGAATTTCTATGCTAGTAACTTATGGAGAACAACATCAGAGGAGAAGAGAGAGCTGGAGCGCCTTGAGAAACCAATATATAATTCAGTCCGTCGAGCAGCTGAAGTTCATCGTCAGGTTGCAATTTAGATTTTTACATTCCAGCATTAGCCGTGTGTTTTGATGAGTAGTAGTTTTTGGAAAAAAACCTGGACAGCGTTGACTATTCATTATTTGGATATGGAAGAGGAAATGAAGAGGGAAAAGTGGATGAAAAATTAATATGGATCTATCTGACGCATGTCTTTAATTCCTCCTGAAGTCAGGGAGAACATCTGAGAAAATTTATATTGAAATGCATGAAAAGAAAGCTGGGTTAGATGTAAATCAAATCATCACATTTACGAAGTCTGTGAAAGATTTGCATTTACATACCCCACTGCATTACATTTCAACCAATAAAATACTATCTTATTTTCTATGTCTAATAATTTTCTTTTGGATGTGGTTTATCTTCTTTTAACTCTAATGAAGAGTTGGTAGAAAGTACATATGTTCCATGATAAATCATGGCGTTATATCAGTAACTTCATATATATACTCAAGTTTCTTTGTCT